CTCTCTCTCACACACACACACACACACACACACACACACACACACACACACAAATGTGGCGGTGTATATTTCCATGTTGCAGCGGTAGATTCACTCGATTTTGCTCGTCGTTTCGATGGAAGTACTCGAGGCCAGACGCGACGTAGGAGACCTCTCTCTCTCTCTCTCTCCCTCCCTAAAATAAAAAATTAGCAAAATAAATCCCTAAGCAAACAGTGAAATAAAAAAAATAAAGTAAATGGTGTGCGCACCCGGCGCACCTGCGCCCCGCCAGGGCGCACCCCCCAGCGCACCGGCCCTGAGCGCAGCTCACTGCGCACCCGGGTGCGCGCGCACCGCACAGCGCGCGGCGCACCACGCAGCGCACAGGGTCAGTGCGCCGCAAGTATGGTTTGTGGTGATGCATGGATAGAAAACTCGTAATAGACGGTTGAAGCATGAGACTTGGAGTTTGCCTCTGGGGTGTGAAGGTTTTGTGGATGTGCACTCTTTATTCTCTCATCACTTGCTATATGGTCAGGAGGAGGATTACGCTATCTTCTTCCCCCGAATACCATGTACGGTCATTATAGCTGTATTTGGGGTATATTTCAGTGTCTAAATACAGCTATAATGACCGTACATTGTATTTTGGGGAAGAAGGTAGTAGCTGACAACGAGACGATGGATGTTGTCTGAATAAGAAAGGTTTTGAAAACGGATCGACTGTCATATTGCTGGTTCTTGTATTTTGCAATTTTCCGCCTATTCTTTCTTGCGTGCACGTCGGTAATTCTGTTGTCCGGTTTGTTTGTCCACATTGGCAATGTTCAAAGAGATACCATGTAACTGAAGATGTGCTTCTGAGATTCTTTTGTGGAGGGAGGGAACACAGAGGTGAGAGTGTTTTTCTCTCACAATCGAACTTTCGGCTTTGGTGGCAAGTGTGACCAGAAGTACTGCCTGGGTCATCCTGTGCGTTCGAGTGGAAATTAAAAAGGGACGGTTTCCTGGAGTTGTGGGGTTTTGTTGCGGTAGACTTGGAATGTTTATCCTTCTTGCTACAAGTCCAGGTAGAGAATGATGCTTCAGTGCAGTGGGTGCATTTTGGCACTAAACCCTGGCATTCCCGTGGGTGGATTTTGGCACTAAGGCCTGGCATAGCCGTGGGTGGATTTTGGCACTAAGCCCTGGCCTTGCCATGGGTGGATTTTGGCACTAAGCCCTGGTATTGCCGTGGGTGGATTTTAGCAACTCAGAGCAATGGGTGAGGGTGGGTATTGGTTCAACTTTGACCCCTGCTTTTCAGACAGCTTTCTGTCTATCTCGTAGTTCTTGTGCCATATAGGCTGCCGCAGTTTCATTAGACTGTTGGCGGGAATAAAGACTTTTCCAGGGAGTGTGTTATAATCCTTGTCTTGTTTGTTCAATACATTATCAGGGACTTACGATTCACTGCCAGGATTGGTCACAATGTGAGGGTAGAACAGTGTATCCTTATCCGTTTTGATAAATCGTCATTTCCTGGCATCAGTCAACCACGGCACAATGGTATGTCTATGCCCCCCACCCCCGCTCGTCTCTCTCTCTCGGTAATTTTGGCCCTGGGGAATTAACCGACGCGTTAGGGCCCAGTTGACTATGACGGAGGGTGGCCCTTGGCGCAGATTTGTCATGGCACGGAGGCTGACAGCGTTGAGTCAACTTTCGTTGACACGACGCATCGACCTCCGAAAACGCGCCTGGTGCAGGGCCTTAAGCCGAGGGGTAAGCTCTCGCAAATGTGTCGAAGTGCTTCCTCTTGAAAGCTGTGCATTAGTCCTAGCTGGCCTACTCAATTTTGAGAAGTTCACTCCCACTACTAACACATCCGTCCAGAAAGAGCTGCAGAAGGCTGGGTACAGTGTCTGGAAAGAAAGGAGACCATCTGCACTACAGCATGGAGAACCAGTCTAGCCACTCGTCTCTCTCTCTCTCTCTCTCTCTCTCTCTCTCTCTCTCTCACACACACACACACACACACACACACACACACACGCACTACAGCATGGAGAACCAGTCTAGCCACTCGTCTCTCTCTCTCTCTCTCTCTCTCTCTCTCTCTCTCTCTCCTGTCTCTTATACACATCTAGATGTGTATAAGAGACAGCATCAACTCAGTTGATGATGCGCGAAAGGAGTTGCTCGCTTTTGTCACGGTACTCGAACTTCCTTCTCGGCCGTCGTCGGTTCACTCGGGCCACG